TTGATGAATAAAAGTTGTGAAGTTAAGTATGTTCAACTTAATTTTTTATTTTCTTTATGGTTTGTGTATTGTATTCTGTTTAAGAAATCATTTACTACTCATGTTTTTACAGATAATCTTGGCCTTTAGAGCCTTTTTTCCTTCTGCTTTTCACATTTAGATCCAGAATCTAATCCAGAACTGATTTTTTTATGTATAATGTGAAATAGGAGTCAGTTTCCCCCCCTTTTAGCTATCCATAGTGTCTTTGTCCATCTCTGTATTCTGTCATGAGTCCCATTCCATGGAAGCCAGTACCATGTAGTAAAGAGAAGAACACATGATAGGTCCGTGTTGTCTGGCTTCAAGGTTTGGCTTTGACATTTATTAGCTATGCAACCTTGAATAAATTATATATCATCTCTCATTCTCACTGTTCATCTGCAAGATGGGCATAATAAAAATTTTCTGAGAATTGCCCGGCCAGTGTGGCTCAGTGGATTGAGAGTCATCCCATGGACTAAGAGGTGCCAGTTCTATTCCCAGTCAGGGCACATGCCCGGGTTGCGGGCTTGATCCCTGGGGGCAGCCAATTGATGTTTCTCTCTCTAAAAAAAAAAAAAAAAAAATCAATAAAAACATTAAAAAAATTTTTCTGAGTATTAAAGGGGGGAATACATAATTTTTACCAAATCACAGTAATGCACATCTCAGTGTTTGCTAATCACATGTTCTAAGTTCACTTGATTATGATTGCTGTTATCATTGAATTATAATAACAAACATTTATAGGAAATTTATAAGCTAGGGACTTACTCTGTTTTACAAATAGGACGTTAAAGTGTGGAAAAAGTAAATAACTTTCCCAAAGTTACATAGCTAGTTAATGACAAAGCTGATTTTAAACTTAGGCAAATCTGATTCCACAGTTTGTGCTCTTAATGGCACAGTATACTGCCTGATAGAGTGTCAGGTATAAATGTGTCTGAAGCTGTAATTATAGTTTCTAATTCCTTTTTCAGTATTTTCTCATGTGACCTATTGAAAGCCTGCCTTCACTTGTTTCTCTTCATTTCAGACTTAAAGCTCTCAATGATAACTAAATTTAGAGTTTGGGTTTTTTTTTTCTTCTGTCCTTTCAGTAACACAAAAGTAGACAAACATGTCCTTCCCTGCCTTATGAGATGGACTTTACCAGTAGCCATATCTCCATGATTTCATTAATTGAAGCCTTTGTTCAAAGTTCCAAGCCCTATTCTTTAGTGATATTTGCTCTCCCTGGCATTCTTATTAAAAAAATTATTGCATCTGGTTAGATCCATATTCTTTTTTACAGACTTATTTTATAAGGGCTCAGTGTTCTTTGGAAACAGAGCTCTGGGAGCATCACTTATGCTCTTTAGTCTTTGAGTTTTATACTGTAAACTCTAATTCTCAGATGTTTTGCACATCTTTACTGAAGGTATGATTTGCCTTTTTTTCGACTATGGGCCAGGATAGTACAAGGAATTTTTGCTGGTTTGTCACCTTGAAAGGTAAAATACATCTTTTTGTTGATCATGTCAGATTTCTTTATAGCAACTTCCATTTTTCCTCAACTAGGCATCACCCATTGTGCAAAATTAATTTCTGCTTCTAGGCACCAGTAACAGGTTTTAAATAAAATCTCTTGTTGCTTTTGAAGCTTACATATTTTGTGCCTTTTCTACAGAGGCTTGCGGTTCTCTTTCTGTGAATCTGATTCCATAAATATTTATATCTTTTACCCTTTGCTAACTTGGTGATTTAAAATAATGACTTATTTGCTTATGATTCTGTAGGTAAGCTGTTTGGCTTGTGCTCTGTTGAGTAATTCTGCTAGTCTCGGCTGGGCTTATTTATATTTCTGTCCTATGCTAGTGGTTGATAGCCTCACTTAAATATCTGCAAGTTGGCTATCTGTCGGCTGGGAGTGCTGGGCCTTGTCTCTCTCATTTGGCAGGCTAACCTGGACCTACTCACATGGTGGTCTCAGGGTTCCAAGAGCAGCAAACAGGCAAACTTCAATGTGCAAGGGCTTTTAAAGCTTCTGGAGTTGTGACATGTTGCTAATATTCCATTGAGCAAAGAAAAGCACATGGTCAACCTAGATCAGGGATGCAGTACTTTACCCACAATAGGAAGAGACATATGTGGTCACTTGGCAATTTATTATACTATTGTATAGCTCCATAGTTCGTTCTGCTTTTATTTTGCCTTCCTTTTTATCCAGTTTATTGAGGTATAATTTACATAAAATAACATGCATACATTTAGGTGTACAGTTGAGTTTTGACAAGTATATACTCCCCTCTCACCACCATTCCATGTAACGTATACAGCATCTTCATCAATCCAGAAAGTTCCCTTCTGCCACTTTGCACTTTGCAGTCAACCCCACTCCACACTGCAGACAAGCACTGATTTGATTTTTATCACTATAAATTAGTTTTGCCTGTGCTAGAACTTTAAATACATGAGATCATAGGTTATGTACTGTTTTGTGCCTGGCTTCTTTCAGTCAGTGTAATGTTTCTGAGGTTCATTCTGCCAGTGTTCCATTTTATTTATCCTGTTAACTTTGTATACCCATGCTGTTTTCCACAAATTGTGTAAAGGTAAATTTTAGCCCAACTTATCCCAGTTATTACAGTGGATAAATCATTGACCTTCGAATTCGACAATCAAATTTTTATTATTTGTGTTCTTTCAGGTGAGTTTTCTTTAAGATCCAGCAGGGAATTATGCAAGAATAGTTTTACTTAAATATAATCTAACTGTATGAAAACAAAAATGCAAAATTTTCAATTAATGTGGGAAATTATAACTTTCAGAGATTGACATTTTAGTAAGTTAATCTCTGGGATCTAATTGAGAACTTCATGACTCATGTCTAGGCATATAAACAAGTATAAAGGAAAAGATTCCTTATTGTAATGTTTCTCTAGGCATTTATAAATTACAGAAAATGAGGTTTTAAGAACTGCTTTTCTTTCTTTGTTTCTACTTAATGAAACAGAATATGGCTACTACTTGCTTTTCAATTAGGTAATTGGTTTAGCATGTTCAGTAGAGGCAGGCAAGTTTGATTAATGCTCATGAAAACTTTAATGTGAACCTACACAGAATAATTTTCCAGATAAATGCTTCTTGGGTACACTGCTGAATTCATCTGTGCTAGTGATCCATATGTTCTTTATGATTGTGGAGGTGATTCTGTTACTATCCTTTTGGGAAACAGAAAATTAAATCATGATTTGAGGGAAAAATAGGATTCCGGCTTAATCAGTTAAATTGCCATATAATTCTGTGGAATAGACAAAATAATTGCATGTCAGGCAAAATTTGAAGTGATTGATTTATATTTCCAACCTTCTTTTTATTTGTTCTGACACAAATAAGTTTATTTGGATTAGTCTAAATAGCACTGGTTAGTAATGTTGATACACAAACTTAGGTGACTTTTATTAGCTAATTTTTAAAAATCACAAATTCATAGTTATTATTTTTATTATGTTTAAGTACAAACCAAGAAAAATGTATTTTAAAATACTTTTTATGACTTCCACTTTACAGGACTTTTTAAATTTTTATATTGCTATGTGTTACTATGTGGTATTGTATTTTGTACCCCCTCCCCCAACCCATCAAAGCTTTTTTTTTTAGAATTAGACCTTTATGGTATCTGATTAGGACCATTCCTGTTTGGATAGGCAGTGGTAAAAGAAAAAAGCTTTCTCTTCTTGGTAAGTCCTTGTGAAAGTGAATTTATCAACTGAATAATAGGAGTAATAAGCACACCCCACATCTTTTACTCACTAAAGGCAAATATGAACAGGCAGTTTTAAATGTGATGTTGCTGTTAACGATATTTTGTAATTGTGACTTGTATACCTAACATTTGAATTTCTTAATTTAGTAATGTCTTATGAAAGGTAAAGGGATCTTGATTCTTATGAGCTCTTCTCGTTTCCTGGCATTTCCTCTAGAAATCCCTGTATTTACTCTATCAAATCAATATTCAACCACAGAAGCTAATGGTTTAGGAAGTAGGGAAATCAAAATGTTAAACTGCAGCCAGAGAGGTCAGAGGCAGGTTAACAATTCCTGAAACCTATTGCTTCTATGATGTTACCTGTGCTTGATCACTTAATCTTTCTCAACAGGTCATGAGAAGTTTGCCAAATTAAGATAATTACAAAAGAGAAGGAACACATCATAAATCAAGTACTAAGTACTTAAGACAGCATTGGTATTTGAAGGAAAGATCAGTCACATGAAAATGTATTGAGTGCTTAAATGTTCATTGAAAATACTATATGTTGTTAATAGTAAATGTTAGTACTTTAACCCATGGGAAAAATTGGTAATATAGATATAATAAACCCATCCCCATAAGGAACACTTACTTATGTAGTAAATCTGTAGTGTTAAATCAAACTGATAAATGATGGGAATTGCCAGTCTCATTAGAAAGCTCATTTTGAAATCAGCATGGGGTATTCAACAGTGTTTCCCTCACTGATTATGTGTACTATATTGAGTTTAATATACCATGAATTGTGTTTAAATATGCAAAGATAGTAGTATTTAATGTATTGTATTTTGTTTTCATTGTAAAATCCAATCCCAATTTATTTACATATATATAGCAAATTACAATTTAAACTGGAAAAGTATATTTTAAACATGTTTACATCATTGTAATATGTAACAAAGTTTTATTTGATAGGTCTTTGCTGCAGAAGTATGATATTACCTAGTCAACTAATAAATCTGGAAACATTGAAAGAATTATGACCAACTTTAAATAATTTTAGAGATATCTTGTACTTTTAAATGTTTAATAGAAAGTACTTTACATTTATATTTTATCTTTCTTTGAAAACATTTGATTTCATGCTAGTGATAAAATTGATAATGTTAATTCTCATTAGGTAAGGTTGTGATTTTGAACCTACCACTGAAATTGAGCCTAATTACATTTTTTGTTTTTTAATTAGTTTGCAGGTCGAAGTAAGAAGGAAACCAAATACTCTCTTAAGGCAGTCGAAGACATGTTGGAAACACTGCAGATTACCCAGTCTTAAGGTTTAAAAACTCTTTCACATTACATTTCACAACTGCGCAATTCAGCTTACTGGCTTGTGACTTAATTTACTAAATGCCCAGTGCTATTTATATACAAATTTTCTGCTAAGGCAGTTGTAAAGAATATGTCTATATAAATCTAAAAATGCCTTTTGCTAAGCAGAAAGATTGGGAACGTGCACAGAAGAAGGATTTAAGAAGAGTCTTATTGGTTGTACATCATTCTCTTTAATATCACACTGCTTTTAAACCATAATCTGATATAAAAATAAACTTGTTAAATAAACCATGATGATTTATTAAACTTGCATGTGGAGAATACAGAATCTTTTTATTATACTTATAGTGAAGATACTGTTTTAGAACTCAATTCCTGGTTAACTTCTTTTTATCTCTGATAGGAAATACATGGCATATATACTGACAACAAAACACTGGCAAATTATTTTGACTCTCTGTTAGTATCTGGTTGGATTTTGCTCTGTGTTTCAGTAGGCCATTGTTTTATGTACTATAATGATAATTCTGCTAAATCATGCTGTAATATGTCATTTTCCAAAATTCAGCAGTATCTCTTTATAAAATGTTGTTTTGCTATAGAACATAATTAGATTTTTACCTATAAAATGCTTTAAGGTTTGTATATGCTATAAAACTCAAAGTTTAACCTTTATGAAAATTATATTTATTGAACCTTTAACTGTAAATTACATAAAAGAATATTCAGAGATCTAGAGAATAGGAATTAAAGGGGTTTCAATGACTGAGTTATTTTTACTTTAGGGAAAAATAAAAAATTTTACACTCATATCTCATTATCTCCTTAGTAATAATTGAGATTTCTTCTTTTTTTTTTCCACTCTAATAAACATTATGCCATCCTCACCAGTATTTTACATGTTTCAATAGAATAGAAAGAACTTTGATAGTTAAATACTTCATTCAGACATAAGTAAATTTTTAGAATAGGCAGTTGTTCATTCAAGACAAATATTTATTGTTAGTATTAATTTGTAATTTGTATATATGTTACATATATATTATATATATTCATAATCTTATTTATGTATTTATACCAACATTATACAGAAACTCCTGCTCACTTGTCGTAGCTGGATTTGGGCAAACAGGGATCATGGAGGAATTGACAACCTGAAAGTCTTTAGGAAGAAAACGTGACAATATCAGCATTTTAACCTTTTGAATAATTCTATTTTTTTTTTTTGTCTAGTGTAATTCTTTCATGTTGCAGTTCTTTTTATTTTATTCTGCCGTGATTAATGAGCAAATGTGAAAAATGTTTTCTCATGTGAAGATAATTCTTCTCAACTAGTATTTGTCATAACAAGATGTACTCTTTTTGTGCATGAATTTAGTAACTGCATTTTCAACATAATCAGTCATTTAAAATTGGTTTGCTACAAAGAAATAGTGCGCACATACTATTCCACTACCTTTCTTCTCTCTGACCTTCTCCCATCAGTCACTAGAATAGTGTTTTCTTTAGCAACTTTATTTGTGTAATAAGTAATGTAGTGCCTCATAACTGTCGGCCTTAGTTTTGCTTTATTGTTTTTAAATTTTAATACCTTGCCAAGAATTTTTTATTCAGTATGTTGTTAATATGTAATAAATTATAAACCTCAATTTAAGTGTACTGAAAGTCCTACTGTGGCAGACAGTTGCTTGCCCAACTATTACCTCCACTTCTTCCTAGTTAACAGTACCCTATATTGTTCAGATAGGAACAGAGATACCTGTTTCTTGAGTAGATTAGGACCTTACCACCCCAGGAGATGCATCATGATTGATTTAGAATAGAAATGGTTTCAGTTTTTGTGGTCAGTGATATGCCAGGCCTGTATTTGTGCTGTCTAGTATAATAGCCATTAGCTGTATATGGCTATTGAGCTCTTGAAATACGGCCAGTGCAACTGAGAAATTGAATTTTTAATTTAACTTCATTTAAATAGCTGAATATTAGTAACTCATGGCCACCATATGGGACAGCCCTGATATCAAAATTTGGGCATATGACCTAGTAGGGATTAATGAAATGAACAGAAGAATGTTGGGAAGGGCCTTCCTTTCGAATGAAAATGTCAAAGCTTTATGAGATGAAGCTTTTTGCCTCTTTCTCCTCCTCCTGGCCAACAACATGCCTACAGGTACAACAGCCACCGTACAGTGGCAAATATGAGAATGAAAGCTAAATTTCCAAGAGGTTTTTTTAAGAAAGATTAGCGAGATCTTGGGCCCCTGATGACACTCTTGAACATCTGAACCTACATGAGCAGTTGCCAACCTCTGTACTTATTACATGAGAAAAATAAACTCTTGATTTCTGTTACTTTAATAATACATGTTTTTGACTAATGTATCTACCATTTAGCTCAAAAATTTTTTTAATTTATTGATTTGAGAGAGAGAGAGACATCAATTTGTTGTTCCATTTATTATGCATTCGTTGATTGCTTCTTGTATGTGTCCTGTACGGAGATCCAGCCCACAACCTTGGTGAATCAGGATGGAGCTCTAAGCAATTGAGCTTCCTGGTCAGGGCCATTCAACTTTTTTTTTAAACATGAAAAACTCATTTTAGGCATGCTCGGAATGCTGTTTCAGAATATATATTATTTAAGAATAATCACTTAAAGTTAAGTAGATAATTATATATAACAAAAGAGTAATGTCTTGTTGCAACTTAGCATCCAGTATTTAAGCCAACAGAAGTGAGAAAAAGCATATTAAAACAGCTTTAACCATAAGGATAATATTAACTTGGGAGCAGAGAAAGTTGTAGAAAAAATAGAATGGAAGACCAGTGTTTTAGTATGCTGGAAGCATATAATTTTCATTGGCAAATATTTTAAAGAATGTCTTTTTCTAATGCCACAATCCATTTATTCTCAAAGTAACATCATTTTACTTCATTTCACAGAACTACAGGATTTTAGAAGGGATGAAGAAGATGATTTAGTTGAACTTCATTTTACGATGAGGAATCAAGTTTCAGAGAAATTAAATTCTCTGTGACAAAGCAAGGAATAGGCCAAGATGTCAGAGGTTCCCAAGTTAGTTCTCTTTCTAGTATACTCTGAGGCACATACCTGTTTTGATGTATTGTTCCCATTTTAGAGTAACAAAAGTAGAGTCTGATATATTCAAGGGACATTGCTTGTTAGCAGAATGGAAGAGAGTTCAGATTTTTTGATTTGTAAACAATTTTTTAGTGGAATAATAAAGTCAAAATTTTATTTTGAATTTAAGTTACCAATTTAAAATGTTACTTCATTTATAGTACATGTGAGGACTATTTTAGACTATTCAGAACTATTTTTTTTTGTTCAGATAGAGTGGGAAGGAGAGAGAGAAACATCGATGTGAAAGGGACACCTGCACGACCCAACCAGGGCCGGGGACAAACTGCAATCGAGGCATGCACCCCCAGCGAGAACCGAACCCAGGTCTCTCTGGACCACAGGCCAACACCCCAACCGCTGAGCCAAACCGGCCAGGGCTATTCAGAACTATTTTTAAACCTCTTTTACTTTGAATCTCTGATGTGTGTTATCTCCCTTTTTATTCTTGGTGAATAACCTTTTGTTATAGGCTGAATTGTGTCTCCCCCAAATTCATGTTGAAGTCCTAACCCTCGGTACCTCAGAATGTGAGTTTTTTTGTAGATAGTTTTTAAAGAGCCAGTTAAGGTAAAATTAAGTCATAGGGTTTTGCCCTAATCCAATGGATTGCTCTCTTATAAGAAGAGATTAGGACACTGACACGCAGCGGAAGGACCAAGGAAAGACAAAGAGAAGATACCCATCTACAAGTCAAGGAGCAGTTCCTCAGAAGAAACCAACCCTGCTGACATCTTGATTTTGGACTTCTGGCCTCTAGAACTGGGATGAAATAAATTTTTGTTGTTTAAGACACCCAGATCTCTGTGTGCTTTGTCAAGATGGCCGTAGCAAGGCAACATAGCTTTCTTAACTATTTTACAGAGAAAGAGAATTAAATAAAACACACCCAGGTATCAGATATTCTTATACCCAGCTTTACTTCTGTTCCTCTTACAGTAAAGTAGTCCTACCTTTTTCTGAACTATTTTTCCACCACTGTCCCCTCATTTTTTATTTTAATCCTTGCCTGAGGATATTTTTCCATCCATCTAGAGAAGGAGAGAGAGAGACATCGATGTGAGAGAGACATATCGACCGGCTGCCTCCTGCAGGGCTGGGGACCAAACCACCATCGAGGTACATGCCTTTGACCAGAATCGAACCCCTGACTCTGGTCCATGGGCTGACGATCTAACCTCTGAGCCAAGCCAATCAGTGCTGTCCCCTCATTTTTATACTTCAGCTATACTTCAGTTTCATGAATTTGCCATACTTCTACCACAGAGCAGCCTGCCTTCTCCTAAACTTGCCATCATCTCATTTCTTGACACTTATCCTTCGACTTTTTCTTTTCTTCATTATCTCCACTCTTATTTAATCTAGATTCTTTCTGTTAACAGTAAAATACATTTAGTTTGTTACAATTTTTTAAAATATGTTCCCTCATTTCCATAACCCCCTTCAGCTACTACCTCATTTCTGTGTGTGTCTTTTTTTTTTTTACAGCCAAATTTCTTTAGTTGTCTAAACTCATATCTGTTCTTCCCCTCACATTTCTTAAATTTCTCTAGTCTGGCCCTGGCCGGTTTTGTTCAGTGGTTAGAGCATCAGCCTGCAGATCAGAGAGTTCCGGGTTCGGTTCCCACTAATGGCACATACCTCGGTTGCAGTTTGTCCCCATGTGAGTACCAACCAGTTGATGTGTCTCTCTCTCTTCCTCCTCCTCTCCCTCCCGCTCTATCTAAAGATAAATACAAAAATGTCCTCAGGTGAGGATAAAAAAAAACGTTTTTTTCTCTAGTCTGGTATTCCTCTCCCCGCCCCCAGTTATTCCTTCAAAATAGTTTCATTTCACATCACCAATCTAATGGACATTTTTAGTCTTTTAGACCATGTTATGCTCTTCTGTGTCGCAAATATGTCTCCTTTCCATTGCCACCACCACCTGAGCCCAAACTACCATCACCTGACTCCTGGATTACTCATGACCTTTTTTCTCATGCATTGTCAAATAAAAAAATGACAACAGTCAACACAATAATAGCCATCTAATATGAAAGAATCAAAATTAAACCTATTTTTGTTAGAACAGCAAAAAATACATTTTTGGGGGTGTGCTGCAGAATTTCAGTAAGAAGTTTAAATGTGCCCCGAAAGGTTGAACATCGTGTGTATAGACCAAAGCCTTCCTTGAATAGTTCTCCAGAGGTTAGGCCCCTCATTTTTTCCTACTGGTATTTGTTAAATAACATTTTATTTTAAGATGCTTTTAAGACTCACAGCAGTTGCAATACAATACAAAGAATTCTCATGTACTAGCTCCTCCTTATATTATGTAACCACAGTACATTGTCAAACTAGAAAATTGACATTGCAAAAATACTATAATGTCAGGTACAGACCTTATTTTGATTTCACAATTTTTAGTTGTTTTTTTTCTTTTCTGTTTATGAAATGTTATATATGTAGATTCATGTTACCATTACCCCAATCAGGGTGTAGAACTTCAACACATCCCCTCTTGCTCCTTCAGAGTTATACCTTCATCTAACACTTGCCTGGAATCCACTGATCTGTTCTCCATAACTGTAATTTTGTCACTTTAAAAATGTTACATAAGCGAAATCACACAATATCTAACCCTTTCAGACTGGCGTCTTTCACTTGGAGTATTTTCCTTTAGAT